TGGGGCTCAGCACTGCCACTGCTGCGTGAGCTCCCCCACTGCTTTGCAAGGGAATAAACATCCCAGTGACCCTGGGAAGGGTTTGGCCACCACTTTGCCCTCTGCAGGACGGTGCATCCTGGCTGCTGTGCCCACTCTGCTGCCCAGCCCCAACCCAACCCTACAGAGCTGGCCAGGGAAGCCAGGCACTGCCCAGTCCCACCAGCCCTTCCTCACCTCTATTTGGATAACTTTTTCACCCATTTTTTTAATGAGGACTCCCCTCCTTCTGCCAACACTCTGAGTTTCCTCTTGCTTTAGTCTGGGAGGCCCATCTCGCTTTTTTATTCTCATTATTTCTCTCCCCCTTGCCTGGCCCCAGGCTTGCAGCGGGTGCTGGCCAGAAGCTGCTTTTGTTCAGCCAGGGGAGCAGATGGGGAGAGTGGCTGCAGGTGGGATGGGCAGTGATTCCTCCCCATCCACCCCACAGCACCTGGCTCTGCCTGCACTTGCCCAAGTTCAGCACGTGGCTCAGTTATTCACTCTCAGACTGAAAAGTTAAAACAAAAACAACTTTAAAAATTGTAATTAATAAAAATAATTAAAAAAAATCAGGGGAAAATTACTGTGAGAAATGTTTACCTGCCTGTGTTTAAGGTCACTGATGTGCCAGGGCTGGCAAGTGGCTGCTCACATTAGACCAGCTGTAAGTGGGCAAAATAACTTCATCCTAAGTGATTAAAGAGCTTGTTCAGCTTCTCCTGTTGCATGTGTCAGGCAAAGCCAATTGCCCACTGCAGAAATGAGGTTGGCTTTGTACCCTGGGGCTAAGCTGGATGCAGGCACTCTGGATGTCGGACAGCTAGAGCTGGCCACTCTACACCACCAGGTCTCCCAGGCTGATGGGAACATCCCTTGAACCTCCCCTTCTCCTGCATATGAGGTGCAGGTCAGTCCCTGGGAGCTGGGTGGGTCAGGAGCCATTGGCTTCAGCCTGGGGGATGCTCAGCACTGGCTCCTCCTGGGCCAGTTCCCCCTCCAGGATCTGACCCTCTGCACATCTCAGAGGAATTAATCCTTCATTTCTCCAGCTCACATATGTATGGCTCCTTGCACTTTGTCCAAGCAGCACCAGCTGGACCCAAAGACACAGCCTGCACTAAACAGACCAGAACCTGGACAGTTGTCTGGGCATTTTCCTGCAGCTCAGAGGCAGGAGTGAAGAGAGCTCCTCCAGACACCTGGCTCCTGTGGGCTGGGGATGCACCACCTGATAAAAGCAGGCTAAAACTCAGCATTCTGGAACTGCTTGATCATGACTGCCTGCTCCAGTGACACTACAGCAGATCCTGTACAATTACTTCACATTTCAATTGCCCTAGGCCATGGACCCACCGTAATGCTGACATGCCCTGTGTCTGGCCATGGCTCACCATGGGGTGATGTTACCTGAAATAAAGTGATCTGCAGGGTACTAAAGTGCTGTGGCTGGGGCAGGGAGGCACAAGGCAGCATGAATGCCACAACAGAGGTGGGTTAGGGCTGGAGGTGACACCTGTGAGAGGCTGTAGGCCTGGATCAAGGGAAGCAAACATCTAAAGAGAGGCCATGAGCAAAGTGTAAGGTGGCCTGGGAGTCCCACAAGGCCTTCTGGGACCTGGGTTTGCACACGTAGTGCCTGGAAGGTGAGCTGGGCAGAGGCTGCATGCTTGTAAAAGAGAAGAGGAGCAGGACATGAAAAATAGAGTGAGGAAAGCAAGGTAGTATGATGGGGAGCCCCATGAGGTGTGATGGAAAGCCAGGGAAAGCGATGGAGAGCCCTTGAGAGTGATGGAGAGCCATGAGGATCTGATGAAGAGCCACGAGGAAGTGCTGGAGAGCCATGAGGATGTGATGGAGAACCTCTTAACTGTGAGACCTCAACTGCTGGGATCTCACTCCGCAGCCTGGCTGTGCCCAGGGAACCAGGGTTCCCAGAACACACAGACCAAACCAGCTGTGTGAGGATGCTGCAACACAGGCACAGTTGTCCCATCCTGAGGATAACCATGGGCTGAAGTCAGCCCTGGCAAGGGCACCTGTCCCCAGGGGTCCACGTGCATTTGTTGGCAGCTGGCATCTGTCACAGCCAAGGAGCACAACAGGGGGTTGGTGCCCACTGTGCCACACCGGAGCATGGACACAGGCCTGGCAGGCATCTTGCCATGGCCAGGTGACCAGGCAGCATTGTGCCACTTGATGCCATTCCCTGCAGAGGCTGGAGGCTGCTGCTTGTCCAGGCACTACACTCCCTGCTGGGAAACCTGCCCAGCCGTAACGCCGGCCCTCGGCGGGAGCACGGCGCTGGCAGGTGCCCGCTGTGCCCACTCACACAGCCCGGGCACGCCACGAGCCACCTGTAGCCTGTGCATCGGGGCTGGCAGTGTGTCCTGGCGCAGCACTTCACCTCCTCTAAACTGCTGCCACTTCTGCTGCGAGCCCAGCAGCAGCAGCAGCCCCTCTGCCAGCACGTGGGGCCGCTCTGCTCCCTCAGGCACGTGCCTTCCTCTTTGGGTCAAGCAGAGTGAAAGAGAGAAAACACACATATAGGATTTACATCACATCAAAATCAACCAGAACCCTTCTCCTGCCTCCACCTCCAGCCTTGCCTGAGGCGGGGGGAGCGCGGCGGGGCTGGGCCGTGGGGCTGGGGGCTGCTGGCCGCTGCCAGCCCCGCTTCCCGCGAGCGACGCCAGGCCGGCAGCGCGGGCGGTGGGAACGCTGTACTCACCATATGGAGCCTCCATCTTAGCGCTTAGCTGGGTGCCTACATTGACCATGTCTCGCCGGCTACTGCTATGGGGACTTGGGGCGAAAACCAGAGGAAGTAGAGGAATAAAAAAGAAATCTAAATAAATAAATAAAAATGTCTCTCAGTAAGGAACTAGGTGAAGGCAGGAGGGAGCGCGGAGAGGCAGGGCGAGGAAACCTGCCTCTCCTGTTATCTTATTGATTCGCTTAATCAGGGCTAATGTGGGTGGAGATGTTAAATAGTAACCAAGCTCTTATGGAAACCAATCTGCAAGGTGCCGTTGCTGTAGCTATAGTAACTGCTGCCAAGCTAGAAACTCAAACACGGCTTTTACTGGACTCTTTTGGGGCTCCCGCTTCCAGATGGTGTCAAGGCCGGGGCAGCCGCCAGGCTGGGGTTCACCCCTGGCCACGCGGAGTGGGGCAGCCGGATCCAGCTCTGCAGTGCCCCAGATGCTGCTGGGTTTTGTGCCATTACCCGCCCAAGACAGGAAAACCAGGTCTGAGCCTGTGTACTGCGAAGGGCAAACACAGCATGGGGGGCCAGGGGCTGTGGGACAGGTGTAGGGACTGGCAAGGGCACAGCACAGCCTGGCTGAGGCACAAGGGGCAAAACGCCCAGGCCATGAGCTGGGGCTTGTCTGCCTGGTGCCAAACCAGAGAGGTTGCCTGGGGATGCTGTGGTGGATGCAGGGTGATACCCTGAGCACAGGACTGGGCACAGGGTGCTTGCAGCTTCTCCTTGTCTCTCTCTGTTCTCGAATCACAAGGTGCCACAGCCACTTATGGTTATCTGTGCTCCCTCTGGGCCTGCTGCATCCAGGACCTCATGGTAGCAGATGTACAGATGGGCTCCCCATGAGGCTGTGGCAGCCCCTGTGCCACTGGGGGCTCCATGTCAGGAGCAGCCTGGGCTGCCAGGGTCTGTGCTGTGGCCAGCAGGGCCATGTGCAAAAAGTGTTGCTGAGAGGACACCAAGTATGTGGGGAATCAAGAACTGAAGCTGAAAAAATGATTATCCATCAGCACAGAGCCTTCCATATCTCCTGTACATCTCAGGAAGAGGCCATGCTGGAGGAGGCACAGAAGGGTCCTTGCCACTCTCAGGATCCCCCCCAACACCTCAGCTATTGAAACCCTGCAGCCCTGATGGTGCCAAATTAAGGATATCTGCTCCTCTGGAATGGAAAAGCACATCCCAAGGGGCATGCAGTGGGGAGAGTGCTGCTGGATGCAGAGGGCTGCAGAACAGGAACCCACAGCTGGATGCTCAAATTCAAGGACTTGTAATTCAGGAATCCCTGAGTTTGCTGAGTGCTGAGAGGTTCTAAAGAGAGAGGCGATGTGGATAATGGGGTGCTCAGTGGCACTGGGGGTGAGGTAGAGTCGTGGGGTGCTGTGGGACAGCATGGGTGGGACAGTGAGTGTGTGGCCCTTCAGCGTCATCACCGCCCCGTGTCCCAGCAGTGCTGGCTTCTCCCACACGATGGAGCAAAGCGCCCAGGCATCTCCTGTGCCCGTAGCCCGTGGTCCCACTGAGGGCATCTGCCCCCGCTTTGCTGCTTACACCCCAAACCAGAGCAAAGGCACTGGCTCGGTGTTACCCTGAGGATTCAGGAAAGAAGTGAGGGAGAACCAACACAAGCGTGGGGGTCTCCGGGCTGCTTTATTGGGAGGCTCAGAACTGAGGGCCCACAGTCAGAAGGACTGCTGTAAAGCAGGAGCATGCTCGGGGCTCCCCACTTATCCAGCTGCTCCCCACGAGGGGAACATCTTGGCATTCACTTACACCAGCCTCTGCCTTAGCACCCCTGATTCTGCAGAGCAGGGACCATGCCAGCCAGCCCCACTCCCTCCATACCCCCCTAAACCATCCCCATTTCAGAAAAGGGAACAACTTGGCATTCGCTTACACCAGCCTCTGCCTTAGCACTGGGGGGGACAGTGGGGAAAACCCCCTGAGTCTGCAGAGCAGGGACCATGCCAGCCAGCCCCACTCCCTCCATGCACCCCTAAACCATCCCCATTTCAGAAAATAGGGACCTGAATGTAATTCCCCCAAAGTGGGAAGCAGCCAGACAACACTGCTGGAGACGTGTGTTAGAAAAGCATTTTCCTACGTGGCATTAGGATGAAGCAGGTAGGACAGCCAGGCTGCTGGGGGGTCAGTGTTATAAATAATTCTTGTCCACCCCATCTCCATGCCCAGGGCTCCTCCTGGGGCTGCAGCCCTAGAACCAGCTGACTTGGTTGGATTTGACTCCGCTGAAGCACATGTTGTTGGAGCAGCCCCCGCCGTAGGTGGGAGGGCAGGCTGAGCACGGCCGCCCCACCTTGTAGGGCGCTTCTCCCAGCCAGTTACCCCTAAAAAGAGAGGAAGGCATCACCTCTGAGCATCATCAGCCCACTGCTGACACTGCTGTGGGGAGGGAGGATGGCACGGGGGGCTCTCCCCAGTCACTCACTTGATGGCATAGTTGCAGACGAGGAGGATGGCGTGGCGCCACGTGCTGCCCCACACCCGCACGTTGGCACACGTGCCCAGGGCACAGCCCAGGCGGCTCGAGGTTGCCCACACCATCTGTGCCAGGACAGAGAAGAGACACTGTTGTGTCCATCCACCCAGACATCCCACAGCTGATAGCCCCAGAATGCCAGTACAGGGCTCTGTCCCCCCAGGGAATTGCATCCCAGCTGCCCCAATCTCTTTGGCTGGATGCTGGCCCGTCACAGGCAGTGCTTTGTTACCAGAGGGTGACTTTTTGCTCTCCCTCTTCTACCTGCAAACAGCACTGCCCTGCACAGGATTGCCTTGCCAAAGTCACATCCATGAGTAGCAGTCTGGGTCACTGCTCCAATTTACCCAAATTAGCTCCTAAACCTAACACTGAATCATGGCCAGCAGCTTACCCTGCCTACAGGGAGGTCAAGCAAAGACTAAAGCTCCTCCTAAAGCCTTTTCAGGTTAAATCTCTTCCATAAAAAGTGTATATTGCCCTTTTGCAACTGAGAGCATCCCTGAGTATCCTCATGGATGAGCCACTTGGGGATGCAGATGCTCAGGTAAAGGTTGGAGCCATGAAGAAGAAGTAATTAGGGGTTGGCACAGTTCTGCTGCCAGGCAGAGGAACAGAGGAGTTTTCCACTTTGTGCTGCCCAGACTGTGTGGGGATGTGCCAGGGGATGAAGAGGCTGCATTCCCAGGGAGCCAGAAACAGCTGGGTGCTATGAAGCTGCTCCATTACAGAGAGGAGGATTCATGCTTGGCAAAAGTACAAAGCAGCTTTTTTTTTTTTTCTTTTCACCACCTTTAAGTTGTCAGAGGTGCAGTGAGGAGAGAAAGGCCAAATGAGAGGGAAAAAAGCTTTTGAAAAAATGGAAGCCTCCTTGTCAACTGGTCAGAAGGTCCCAGCTGCTCCTCCAGTGGGTTGTGAACCCCTGGGACCTTCCTGCAACAGCCCAAACGCTGGAAAAGCCCAGCTGGGAGGGCATCGCTGGCATCCCTCCAGCAGACACTGCCAGCTGCCAGGACCGCTGCCTGATCTGAAAGTGGCAGCTGCCAGGGTTTGACCCTGGATCCCAGCTGCTGCTGGCAGAAGAGCTGTGAGCTGCACAAGGCCCCCCTTTGCATCTGGATCCCGGGGGCTGCAGTGCTCACCTGCGTGTAGTGGCTGCAGACGGAGCCGCTGCATTTGGAGGGGCAGCGTGGGTTGCACTCACGGGGGTGGGGGAAGGAGTAGTGCTGCTTCTCCTGGTGCCAGGATTTCACCATGTCCATGACAGAGCGGTACCTGCAACGGTGCTACAGGTAAGGTGGATCTCCTCCACATCAGAGGTCATGGGCAAAGGAAAGGAAGGGAAAGCTCCACACTGAGGAAGTGGAGGAGAGAAATGGTTTGGGGCCAGAGCCCACTGGGAACAAGCATTCCTGGGAAAAAGGGGGTAATGACATTCTTGTGCCGAGCCCACTTGTGCTCAAGGCTGGAAGACCAGAGACACCTGAGCACTCAGCCGCATGGAGGAAACCCAGGACCCATACCCCCCTGGTCTGGGTGCCTGGCAGAGAGGGGAATAGTGGCATACTTCCCAAATGAGCAGCAGGCATGCTGCTTTCCTGTATTTACCCGTCTGCAGGAGCTGGGCCTTGCTCCTCCACCCCGGGGTTCCTGATCTGCCTCTCAGCTCTATCTCACTCCGTGCAATGCCAGCTCAGAGCCCCTCTGCTCCTTGGCTGAGGGGGTGCTGCTGCTGCTCCTGCAGCATCGTGGGGTGTGGGTGTTTCCCAGGAGCTCACTGTGTCTGCAGGGCACTCACCTGCCCGATTGGATGGAGAGGTTCTGTCCCACATACTTCATCAGCTCGGGGGGGCCGTGGTCCCACAGGCAGCGCGCAGCCCACGCCTCCGCTGCCCTGGCCAGCCGCTCATCCCACACCTGGCCGGGGAAAGGAAAAGGGCAGGCAGGAGTTTTAGCTTCCCAGAGAAGGGAAGAGGAGAAACCTGCTCCCTTGTGCTATGAGGGCTTTCTGAGTGTCCAAAAAACAGGACTCATGCATTAGGGTAGAAAACGCCCAGGAAAAGGAAGCACAGCAGCGTGTCCAGGAGCCATGGACCTCCCCAGCTGCTGCCACAGCTCTGGACACACAGTGTAGCAGAGCAGGGATGTCCTGCAGCACTGCAAACCCTGTGTGTGTGATTCCCTCCAGGAATGAGCTCCTGCACAAGGTGGAGCTGAGCACAGGGGTGAAACCCTGCAGCCTTGTGCTGCTGCTGCAGCTCACAGTTGTCCCAGCCCTCAGTGCAGCCCTGGCCACAGCCTGACCGGTGAGCACAGCTGGTTCCTTCATGCATTATTTAAACCTGCCTCACCCATCCTGAATGCCTTTGGGGAGATGCCTGTGTGAGTTACTTTGGAAGGCAGGAATTTAGGCCAAGCAAGAAGCAGTGCAGGATGATCCTGGGCATGTCTGACCTGCTCCGGTACCCAGCAAGCTGGGCTGCTCTGTGCTTCTCCAAACCACATCCAGAGGCCACCCAGCTACTCCTTCAGAGCTGGTCCCCTTCCTGGGAACAGATCAGCATGTGGCACCTTCTGCCCTGAGGGTCCTGCCCTGTGTAGGCTGGAAATAGCTCCTCTTGGGGGACCTTTAGGGCTGGGTTAGGATTTCCAGACAGGGTGGACAGAACGTGGGGAAAGCTCTGCCCAGGGTGACCCTCATCTGGAGATGCCCAATATGTCAAGGCTGCACATCCCCTCCTTGACTCACTCCTGCACAGTTTCTGCTTCTGGGAACTGGCACCACTTGGAACACTCAAAAGGGACCCTGGAGACTGTGATGGGATCATTCCTCACGGATACAATCGGGGAGAGGCTCCTGCCTGGGCTTTGGGTTGGGACCTGAGCTTTTCATGCTTGTAGCCACCTCCCAGATGTCCCAGACACAGGCCTACAGATCCTACATCTACCCTCATGGGAAAACATCTCTGTACTGGGACTACATCCCTCCTGCACAGAGGCTGCATGGGTCTGCTTTGCCCTTGGAACCCAAAACATCCCCCAGGGCACATGTTCAGCTAGGAACCTAACATCCTTCCTAGGCTGGGTCTCCCACATCAGAAGTGAGCCCCTTGATCGCACCAGAGCTGTGGACCCAAGACTACCCTGCCACAGCCCAACTCACCATGTATTCCATATTGGCAGCCGGGGGGGACACCTGTGCCCGCACTTGGTTGTGGTAGTCCAGAATCACGCTCATGTCGTGGGGGGAGAGGAATCGCTTCCGCCGGCCCCGCGGGACCCCCTCGCCCCACAGCAGCCCCGCGGCCGCGCCCGCGGGCGGGGACAGCAGCTCGGTGGCGTTGGGCAGCAGGAAGGAGCTGGACAGCTGTGTCACCCAGCAGCCCAAGGCCGTGAGGTACAGGTGCAGGTGGAGCACAGCCATGCCAGCCCGCCCGGTGGGGTCAGCCGGCAGATTTCTGCTCCTGCAATGGAGTTAAGCAAGGACAAGGGGGATTGCTGGTCCCTACTGCTGGTGTGCAGATCTAGGAGAGAAAACAACACAGGTACCACTCAGGATTGCGAACACCATGCAAGCACCATGTCCCAAAATAAGGTGGAAACAAATTTTCTTTTTCCCTATTAATAACAGTAGTTTTTCCCTATTAAAAACAGTAATATTTAAAATTAATCTCTTTAATAACCTTATTTATCAAAGCAAATTCCCCAGGACTGTCAGGGATATGCCTGGGGAATTAATTTTCTTGTTTGTTTTTAAAAAAGATAAAAACAGTAGAAAGTCTCCCCGTTTTTTCACTTATGGCACATACCTGTGGCGCAGGAGATAGGAGCATGCTGAGAGTCACTGCAGCTGCCTGCCCTATAACTTCCCAGGAGTCTGGTTTGTTGAATAAATCTCCAGCACAAACAGAAACCTCACACAGATAAAGAAACTCACGGCAAGACTTAAAAGCATTGTCGAGAAATCCTAACGACTCCTTAGGAAAATTGCTACTGCAAGAGCCGAGTATTTATTTTTTTTAAAAGGAAAAACGCTGGAATATCCCCTCATCCGTCAGCCGATGCACCTCCTAGCAAGGGATGCACCTCCTAGCCAGCCCTTCCCGGAGCAGCGGGAGGATGGATGTTCCCGGGAGCACGTACCGTGAGCGCTGCGCTGCGAGCGGCGGAGCCCGGCGGCGGCGGCGGGATTGACCTGCGGGAACAACCTGCAGGAACAACCTGCGGGAACAACCTGCGGGATTGACCTGCGGGAACAACCTGCGGGAACAACCTGCGGGAACAACCTGCTGGGGCAGATGCGGGAGGCTCGGCTCAGCCCCGGCGGGCAGCCCGCTGCGGCCGCTGACGCACAAGCTGCATCTTAACTCTTCCCGCGGGGAACGTCCTGAAGTTTGGGAAGAGCCCTGCCAGGGGATTTATAGGCTGGTGAATGCCTCCGCGCACACAGGCTCACGCAGGCACACGGAGCCCCGCACGGGGCCGGGGGGAGCGGGCGCAGCACGGCTCGATGCCTCGGTGGGTGGAGGGGCTGCTCCTCGCTGCTGGCTGGGGGTTTGTTCAGGCTACCTCCAGGGAGAGATTCCCGAAGACATCTCTTTCCTGTTCGTTCCCCAGCGGGGATCTTGCTGGGAGCAGTGGGCAGAGAAGCGGATCCAGGTCGGTGAGGGATGCAGAGGGGATTTTGCCCCGCCGAGGAAGCAGCAGGGCTGGGACTCGCCAGGAGCCCCAGGGTCACCCCACCTGGGTGCAAGCTTAGCAGGTGGTAGAGATGTCCCTTATGGGGGTGTCTGGGAGGAGAGCTGGTGCCCACACACGTCCTTGGGTCAGCAGCTCTCCCGTTATAGATGAAGCCACTTGCTGGGCTGGGCGTTGCCACCTGTGTGTAACCCAAGGACTGGGACTTGTCACAGCCTACAGGGACTCTGCCCGTGGCCCCACCACTGACCCGAGCTGGCAGTGCCCAGCCAGGGTTATCTCAGGGGAAAGCAGTGGGCTGTGCTCCCTCCACTGTGTCCATGTGTCTGTCCCCAGGGAGGGGAAACGGCTGTAGCATCTGAAAGCCATATCCTGCAGCATCAAGTGTGTTTCCCTACAACATCCCACACAGTCATGATGTCAGGGGACAACTGAGTTATTGCAGGTCACAGAGACACCTGGCCAGCTGGAGGGGCTGCTTGCAATGCCTGTCACATCTTCCTCCCACCGTGCTCAGAGCCAGCGCAGGTGGCCATGTGTGACCTGCAGCAGGGCTCGCTGCTGCCATCCCCCCATGCTGCAGTGCCCCTGGTAAGTAAGGTGCTGGTCCCCCTGTGCCTCACCAGCTTTGGGGTCACCACAGGCAGCTTTGGAGCCAGGATCTGGCTCTTCAGTTGCATGAAGAGGAGCAGTAAGACCAAAAACCCACTCCTGAGCTGGCAAGGGGCACAGAGATGGAGTGCAGGGAGGAGAAGGCACTCCCACAGCAGCAGCAGGTCACTGCTTTTCATGCCCACAACCCTGGCTGAGAAAAACTGAGGATCCCAGAGCCATAACTCCTGCCTGTGCAGGGACTGACAGCATGTCCCAGAGCCTGGCTGGCTGCACCCAGAGACGTGCAGCAGAATCTGACCAGGAGCTCAGGGAGGCACAGACCTGAGCATGGAGCAGGAATAAGGCCCAGGTGCTGAGCTGATGTGCTGTATTAATACAGCCTCACCCTGCTGGGAGCCTCCAACAAAAGAGACCACTTTGTACATTTTTCCTGGCATCATCTCTCTCATAAAATAATTCAAGATGCTGTGGGCCCTTGGGAGCTGCTGAGACATGTGCCAGTGGGGTATTTCCATCCACTCCCCACCCAGCAGGTGGGATGGTGGTTGTGCCAGTGAGGAGACAGGGAAAATGCAGCTGAGGCATCTCTGGCCCCCCCTGCAGCACTGCAGGAGGGGATCCCTCAGTGTGGAGAGCAGCAGCACCCCATGAAACCGCCGGGATGGGTATCCTGTGGGGGCTATGCTGTGGATGGCACTGGGAATGCCAGGGTGTCAGGGTGGCTCCCATAGCCCTCTGACTTTCCAGGCTGCCTTTGCAGGGGTCTTACCTGCTCAGCCTCACCTTCCAGCAGCAGATCACCCCAAAACACCAGCCACTTCTCTGCAGGTGCTGGGCAAAGTGTCATCCCTTAGTCTGCCAGCCCTGCAGGCACCCCTGTTTCACATTCATCTATGGAGACAGGCGTGTCAGCTCCAGGGACCAGCAGCAGGACAGCTTCATGCTGCACATGGGGGACAGGCACTGGTGCTGCCTCCCTCCACTCAAACCCAAATATCAAATCTCTCATTAGCGAGGCTGGTAAAGGCAGTTTCATTCCCAGCAGATTAAAAAGGCAGATGGGGACAGGCAGCAGTGATCTTAACTGGGCAGAGCGGGAGGTGCAGCTGCTGCCAAGTGCACACTGAGGTAAGGATGCTGGGGCTGTGTTGTGGAGAGGGTGGTTTTTAATGATCTATTATTTCACAGAAGACACAGCCCTGAGCAGCAAATGCTCATCCAACACTGTGAACTGCAAAACTTTTAATTTGTGAATTTTCTTTTGAGTTTTTGTCTCCCTGGGGGCTCGGGGAGATTGAAGGCACCGCAGCTCCCTGTGCCACGCAGCAGCTGAGCCTCTGCGCAGAGGCAAGGCGAGGGTTTTGTCTTGGGTGCAGATTGAAAGCACTGCTTAATCAGCACTCCACGAGACAATCCAAATTCCAGGAACTGGAAGGGGTTTGTGTCCCTGCCAGGCGTAATATCCTGCAGCCCAGACTGGCCCGGCTGCCAAAGCACACGGTATCTGCAGCGAGGACCTCGCTGGGAGCCAAGAAGCACATGCATTCAGCTGGATACAGCCACAGCCGGCAAATTCCCATTTTAATGAGCATCAGGGGGAACAAAAAAGATAAATCACTGCGTTCAAGCACTCTCTTGGCAGAGACACCCTCTGATGCTTTTATGACCAACAGACAGCAGCTTGCTCCAGAATAAGACATAATGGGACTTGCAGGATTTCTCTGTCATGTTTATTTCTCCCATCTGTTGGCTTTGGGCATCACCCATCACCCACATTCCAAGGTGGCAGACGGTGACATGAGCCCATGCAGGACTGAGCAGGGCTTTGCCCTTTGCTGACGTCAGGATCTGCTCTGCTCCCTGAGCGTCCTGATGCCTGGAGCAGGTTGATGTGGATTTCCATAGCAGGAGCTTTCTCTTTATTGGGGTAAAATACAATGAAACCAGGGTCCTGTCTGAACAAAACTTTCCCCAGGCACTGCACAAACTCTGTTGTTCGTGTAAAATATTCCCCTCCTATCTAGTGACAGAAAGGCTCATTTTCCATCTTTGCTGAAAGATGTTCCTTTCCCCCAGTCCCACCCCAAAACATCAACAGAGCTCCAGCTACCTTGGTGCCCACCCTGGCAGGGAAGGAAAGTGGGGCTTTTGGTGGATTTTTTCATTTCTGAAGCCCTGTAGAGGTCCAGCATATCAGTGCTCAGTTCCTCCTAACACATCATGAAGGGAGATCTTCCTTCTGACTTGGAAGCTGGAAGATTTGATCTCCACGTCTTGTGACTTGAGTAAGCCCAGGCTGAGCTCCTGTACGTTCTTTGTGATCTTCCAGGAGTGAAATACACATTGAGGTGTAACACAACTGAGATCAGTCCTGAAGTCTGAGGACTCCATAGTCATCCTTCTTCCTATTTAGGAGTTCTTTGTAAGTGCTGAATCCCTTGCTGAGCTAAGCTGAACCTTGGAGGAAGAGCTACTGTCAGATCTCACACTGAAGAGGTGACCATCAAAGGGACAGGAGCTCTCCTGGAGCCTTTCATACAATGAAAGGCACATCCCTCTGCTTCAGGTGTAATGTCCTCTTATAACCCACAGTTCCTGCTTGTGTGTTTGCTAAGGTGAAGAAAAACCTTTCCCATTTTATATATAGTGATGGTGTAGAGAGCCAGCAGTTGAGAGTGTGGACAGGAGCCTGCACGTGTGGGTCTGACCACCCAGGCTGGGCTCAGCAGGGCAGCACAGAGCAGCCTTGCCCTCAGTCTGGCTCCTGACCCCTCTCCAAAAGTGACCTGGGCACCACAATTAGCTCCTTTCAGTGGTGCAGCTGGCCAGGACTAATGCTTTTGAGCCCTGAAGTAAAAACCACTTGTTTTGGGGTATTACCTAAGGTGTTCCTCAAGGCTGACATGATCCTCCATGAGCTCCTTGGTGAAGAGGTGGGTGTCAGCCCCCCACCTCTCCCCACAACATCTGTGCCACTGTCAGAGCTGTGGCCCCACCATCAGCCTGTGACTGCCTGCGAGGAAACTCTGATGGCCAATGGCTCCAGCCAGCACCAAGATATATTTGGAACCTTTGAAAGGTGAGAATTTTTTCCACTAGCTCTAGAAATAA